CCGTGGTGGGCAGAGCACAGGTAGCCCATTGTGTAGCTTTGTGCTTAACTTCATACCACAACGACATCTTTCCGTTCCGCCTCCTTCAGTGGCACAGCGGTATGTCTGCGGACTTACAACGCTAGAAACCGGGTTTCGATACCCGTGGTGGGCAGAGCACAGGTAGCCCATTGTGTAGCTTTGTGCTTAACTTCATACCACAACGACGTCTTTCCGTTCCGCTTCCTCCAGTGGCACAGCGGTATGTCTGCGGACTTACAACGCTAGAAACCGGGTTTCGATACCCGTGGTGATTTCACGTACAACGCAACGTTTTCTTCGCGAAATGACGATTACGTTAAAATTTGAGTTTCCGCAACGGTTCTATTCTTCAAATAATCTCTCGTTGTAGCTACTAATTTTTTTTGTTAACTTCTTATTCTTTATAATATTTTTCGAAGGATTTTTTTTTTTGCCACTCACAGCATTTTTTCTAAAAGTATATAACAATCTAACAGTGCTGATGAGTTTTTCTGACTAATTTCTTTCAAAGAGTTCTCTTAGTCTTGTAGAAACTTTGACATCTTCCGTTCTTCTTTTTGAAAAGATTCTTCTAAATTTGTCTAAACTTTGAAATGTTTTTGACACTTTCTCCATTTTTTTTAAAGTGTTTTCTTATTACTCCACTGACCCGAGCTTATCAGATATGTTTTTGTTACTTTCACTGGAAGCCACCAACACTTACTGTCGTATCGAATACAAAAAAAGCATTGTCTTCTCATGTTTCAAAGCTGAGCGCTTTAATATTGTACAAAACCTGAAGTAAGAGTTATCTGCCATTGTCTAAAGTAATGTGAGCATTTAACCACGAGTGTATTAAATATTCAGTAAGCCGGTAATGATTTTTATTAGTAAACGTTATTGATAAAAAATTAGTCACACCGGTAGAGGTAGTGTTGAAAGGCTTTTGTTGTTGTTGTTGTTCTTGTCGTTGAAAATTGCACACGGATGATTGGTGTCCTCTGGGAACGTTTCCATAGCAACAAATCATTGCAGCATCACAAACGTGATTTAAAGTGAGTGGTTGTGGGATGTGAATCTCTTCTGAAGAGGACAATTTTCCATAGGGGGTTGGATATTTTGTAAATACTTTTCCTCACGATCAAAATCCCTTACAGTATTCTTTACATGAGATACACGAACTTCATATTTATTTATTTTTACTCGATATATCTACGTTTTGGAAGGCATTATATGACAAGAACAAGTTTTATAAACGAGGACAGGTTGGTCTACAACACAAAGATCATTGATGAGGATAACAAAAAAAAAGGATTAAGTAAACAAATGATATTCTAAATGCTGTTAAAACATTGGTATGATTTAATGAAAATACCATAAAGCAGGACGTATGGCTAGTTTAAACAAGTTTTATTTTTATCTCGCAATTTTACCAAACTAACATTTTGCCAAGTTTTTTTTGTTCCCTGATGGCTCTGCGGTAAATTTACGGCCTTTACAAACGCTAAAATTCTAGGTTCGATTCCCGCGCAGATAACCCATTGTGTAGTTTTTCGTTAAATAAACAAGTGGTCGCTGAGTTTTACAGTTTCTAATTTTAGCGACCTATATTAGTTATACCATAAAGTTTGAAAAGTACATCGAGACAAGAAAATAATCAAATATTCTTCACATTTAGGAATT